ATTTGGTTTACAAATTAAGCTCTGGCAATAATGTAGTTGCGGAGTGTGGTAGTTTATTTGCCACCGGAGCGGGGAGCTTAGAAAACCACTAGTCTGGATTATAAATAATCTGCTGCCAGATTTAGAATCTGTTTTGTGAAGTTCTCACAGCTGTGATTTATTTTCGACTGGTTTCAGCTTCTGATCCTTTACGTTGTTTCTTGTTCAGGATTTCCTGCCACAGTGCTGGATACCTCTCCAGTACGAATACAACCGAGTAAGTGTACATCTTTACTGTAAATAAATGAAATATTTATGTTTGTACTTCATGTAAACTTTAGAATATCGTTCATTTACCCTTCAATATGCACATTTGCTTGTTTTTCCTACAGGGGCAAAGAAAATCCAAGCCTATGCACGTATGTTGCATCAGTTTACTTGAGTTTATCACAAATATGTGGAAAATATTTCAAACAATCAATATTCTCCAAAGATTTTGTTCAAACAGAATCTATTGAAAATTTGGTGTATAGACGTGCACGTATGTGTATGATATCCAAATCTAACTGATTTATGAGAGCAAGAAATGTGTAGATTAATAAATTAACCACCAAGAGCCAAACTGGAAGCAAATTCATGACAATAGTTTGGAGACATTCGTTAATATAAGTATAATTACACAAACTTACAGATACAACTAAAGAAAGTTAATTTTCATTAAACCTTTGTTCTACGCAGTGAACGTCTCGTTGGACACCAACACCGCCCATCCCAGGCTGGTTTTGTCCGAAGACCTGAAAACTGTGAGTCATCTGCTCAGCGGCCTTTTGTGTACTTGTCTTTTCTTCTTCTTCTTCTTTTGTGTACTTAAAAACCTGTTTGCGACTCTGATAAACCACGTGTCCCTGCAGGTTTGGTGTGCAGATCGACACCACCACGTACCGGACTCACCGGAGAGGTTTGACAGAGTTGTGTGCGTTCTGGGCAGGGAGGCCATCTCTTCGGGGAAACATTACTGGGAGGTAAACGACTAAGAAAGAAACTTTGCATCTACTGCTTTATTGTCTAGAAATGTGTACTTTGATGTGTAATATCAAGTTTTTTAGATTTATGAAATACAGTAGTCCCTCGATACTTCCCGGTTTGACTTTCGCGGACTCACTCTTTCGCGGGTTTTCAAAGTAAGACACGACACACGATTGGCTGATTGATGGAAGGGGACCAACCAGAACATTGTGCTGAGGGACGGACCGGCCATCGAGAGCACCGGGACATTCCCAGGTGGTCCCAGTGGTGCAGTCTACGTGATACACGGCATACACGGCATACCCACCAGAAAAGCTTAAGAATTTGCCCAATGACACATGACATATCATTAGGCACATGTCACTGATATGTTAAATGGAAGTTAAACGCTTCTGTAACAACCTATCAGTGCTATTCGCTTATCCTGTGAATTATTGTAGAATTAATACTTTTCTACTTACTACTTGAACATGTTTTGCTTTGATACTGTTTTATAAATTCTATAACACGTTTTTAATACAAAGCCAACTGCTGTACAAAGTCTGTTGTTCATTTATTCAAATATAAGCGTCAGAGAAATTTGGAAATGTTCAATATGCTTAAAAATCAAAAATAAATTGACGATTGCTGGTACATTGTATTAAGCAGTGTACTTTGCTTTCCAAGCACAGTATACGAACCGACCGCGGTAAAGTTAGTTTTACGTTGGGCGTTGGACATTCGAGCACCTTCAATGGTGTCCAACATCCAACATAAAACTAACTTTACCACGGTATACCCACTGCAAAAATGTCGACTACACTGGACCGCTCAGTGATCGCCGAGGGGGACTAAAGTCTTTGTTCAGGTCACGCTCGATTATTTAAAATAAACAATCCATGGTGCTCGTGGCCCAAAAAGGAAGATAAAGATATTGAATGGATGTAAATATGTTATGAAACTAAATGCTCCTTGTGGGTTGAGGGTTAGCCTTTCTCTCATGGTGAGTTCAGGTATCTGGGCGTCTGGTTAAGAATTTATGGTAAAATAGAGCAAGACATTGGTCGACAGATTGGAGATTTGTCCACATTATTGAGGGTGTTGCTCCGGTTGTGAAGAAGAAGTAGCTGATCTGAAAGGGAATGGTCCCAAATTACTGGTACGTCTATGTCGCAAACCTCACCTCTTGTGGTGAGGTGTGGATCATGACCGAACAAATGATATCCAAGTGGCCAGACTCAGTTTTAGAAATAAGGGGAGGATCTCGAAGTAGAGCCGCGGCGTCTTTGCATCGAAAGGAGTCAGCTGAGGTAGTTTGGGCTTCTGATTTAGATATCGCCCTTTGATGGATCTCTTGACACTTTTCCAGTTGACACTTTCAACCGGAAGGAGACCAGGGGAACCGAGAATTTGCTGGAGGGATTATATATCCTCCGTGACCTGCGAACTCCTTGGGTTCTCTCAAGAAGGGTAGAAGAGTTCATCAGGGGAGAGGGAGGTCTGAATGTTCATTCTGGACTTTTTCTGTAGTGACTTGACCACAGGTTCTAGGAAGAAAATGAACGAATAATGATCTAATTTGTCATTTGAGTGTGATTATTTTTGTTTACCTTTGGTCCTTTATCTCAATATCTGGTCGTTGTGTTTCTAATGAACAGGTCGAGGTGAACGGGAAGACCGACTGGGATCTGGGTGTCGCCAGGCAGTCGGTCAACAGGAAAGGGAAGATCGATTACACTCCGAACAACGGGTTTTGGTTCCTCAGTTTAAGAGACAAGTGAGTTTTGTTCCTCACAATAAACCGGAACCATTTCTGAATAAATAATGAACCAATCGGTTCCGTGCAGTCTGATACCTGTAGCATGCCTGTTATGGTATTTTCTTTACAACTTGGTCTTAGACTGTATTTGCATTGGCCCCGTTGGACTCTTGTAGGTTCCTTAAATTAAACATTTCAGTCATCAGACATTAGAGGGGGGGAAATTATTTTCTAATTGTCTTGTCCCTTGATTTCAGGAATAAATACGCCTTTCGAACCGAGCCTTACACAGACGTCGAGTTGAACCTCCGACCTCATAAGATTGGAATATTTGTGGACTACGAGAAAGGAGAGGTGAAGGATAGAAATGTATACCACAATACTCATTGTTCTGCTGAAAAACTCAACTGTCACATGTCTCTTTGCCCTGCAGGTATCTTTTTACAACGTTGATTCCAAAGTCCACATCTACTCTTTCCACGATGTTTTCACTGAGAACATCTACCCCTTCTTCAGTCCGTGCACTAATAAATCTGGAAAGAACGACATGCCTCTGATTATCACGCCAGTATACATGACACATTAGCATCCGCCATGTTTGTTTTCTGTTCCTCACGTACCTATTTGCTCTGTAAAAATGCCATCTTTTGACATATTTATGTACCTGTCATTAAATTAGAGAAAATAAGGTTAAAGTAATGTATTTATTCATTATTATTCCTTAATATAATCACTAATTTAGCTGAAGATCAGTTTGCATGTTGCTTCCACAGGGAAAATAAAACCAGAATCATTTTATTTCTTCCTATCCGTTTATATTAACATAAACACTAGCAGTAAAAGTCTTTTACCTTCATTTCTGCTCGTCTATGCTAACAGTTTAGCTCATATTTGATGAGCTATAGATTAGCATGTCATAAAAACTAGCATAAGGAGAAAACTGTTGACTTTGTTGTGACGGTACTGTATGTACTCTAACAAAATCTGGCAGCCAGTACCTGGAAACCCCAATACGTATTTTCTTTTGGACTATGCTAACAATTTAGCTCATTTTTTGAGGAGCCGTTTAGTTTAGCTTAGCTAAACTAGCGTAGCTAAAAGACTAGCAGCAAGGGGGGCAACAGTTAGTTGGTAAGAAACTATATTTGCCTGAAAACCTTTTTTTATTTCACTTTTTGACTTTGCGGAAAAAAATTAGCGCATTTTTACAAATATTTAGTTTAGCTAAGCTTAACTGCTAAGACAAATTTAGCTTAGCTGAACTATATTAGCTAAAAGTCGGACTACTACTAAAGAAAAAACAAGTAGCCTAATTGTTTTTTTTCACTATTTTTGGATCATTCTAACAATTAGCTAACTTTTAACGGAGGTTTTTATTTTTATTTTTTTGGTTAGCTTAGCTAAACTAGCTTATCTGGAAAAACAACTAACGAGGGACAACAGCTTATTTCTGTTGGCAAAAAGCTACATTTCCCACAACAAATCACTTTAAAAAATTTCTCGTGCATTTTCGTTGACACTAATATTCTATAACAATTTAGCTAGTTTTTGAGAAGCTAATTAGCTTAGCTTAACTAGCTTAGCTAAAAGCTGCAATAACAACAAAAAAAAAAACAGTTGTGTTGGCAAGTCCATCTGTGACCACGCGAAATAGTTTGTTCTAACTTTTACAGATAATAATGACTTAAAGTCAGTATTTTGCAATAAACTATGGCCTATATATATTAGATATGCTACATGTTAGCCTTGTTCTGCTAAAGGTTTGTTCCTCATCAGGAAGTTTTTCCTTTCCACTGTCGCCTTCGTGCTCGCTCAAGATGAGAGTTCTGTGATGGTTAAATTCGAATCAGTCTGCTCCTCAGATAAATAATGTTAAATTATTATTTTTATATATGTTTCTGTTCAGTGCCCTGAGACGACTTCTGTTGTGACTTGGCGCTAAATAAACTGAATTGAATCTACTGAATATACTAGATATATGTAATAAACTTTTATTTGTTGTATGTGTATATTCATTACTATCACCGACTGTGGCCGCCTAAGGTAACAACATTTTTTTTAGAAATTATTATTATTATTAAGTTTGAATTTTCATCTTTGCGTTCATTTTTATCGTGGATGTTCCAAATCCGAACATCCGGAAAGAGCTTCTTCCAAAATGTTTGTATTAATGAGTTTGCCACAACAGTAAATACCAAAACAACTTATAAATCTTTTTGTCTTTAAAAGTCAACAAAAAAAAAAAAAAAAAATACAGGTGTTAAGGACCAAAACACCAGAGTTCAACCTTACATACGTGAAGTAGCCATGAATGTATTTGGGCACGGGGTCAGAGTTCATGTATAGGTAAAAGATCCGTAACGGTAAAGCTAATGTTAAAAGATGTTTACGTGGTTTTCAGTTCTTTTAAATCCTGTATTTGTTTTCATGTTTCGCCCGTCTGAGCTGTGTGAAAAACATTGAACACAAAAACACATCTGCTTGCGATAAGATCCTTACTGCTGCAATGACAACACGTTCGTACGCTGAATAAAGATGGAAATAAAACCAGAAAATATACAACAGCCTTCCTGACTCTCCTTCTTTTTGCTGCCCTGTCCACCATAACCGTGTGTCACGAGCTCAAAGTATAATAAACGCAACATTTTGGCTGGTCGATAGTTATAAATCCTCTACTGTAAAATACTGCAGAGGTTAATACATTTTTAACTGTTTACGTGACGCACTTACCTCAGAAATGAGACCTTTTATGTAAAAATGATGCCATATTTAAGTTTTACCTCATTACCTGGTTTAGTTGCGCTGCGACCAGACATCATCGTGAAACACATCACAAGCTCAACTGGACTTTATTGTGCATTAAATTATCGTGCTCAAATTCGTAGAAATCTTCGTGAATCTGCTCGTTCGGCTGTGTTACTGGTTTGTTACATCAGCACCGTCTGGACCCGGTCTTCATCAGAAGTGGATGCGGTCGATCCGGTCCTGCTTCATCTGGGACTTGGCCGTTTCTTTCTGCCGGAGGACGTGCTCGGCGAACTCCCTCACCGCCCCCGCCCCCCCGACGAGGCGGCACGTGTACTTGGCCGCGGTGACCGCCTCTGCTGGGGCGTCTGCGGGCACGGCGCTCAGACCCGCCAGGTTCAGACAGCTGGCGTCCGACGTGTCGCTGCCTGGGGAGAGACACCGAACGATAAAAAAGATTTGCATCCGGGGCGTTGCTGCTGCAGGAAGCACACCTGGCCAGGTGTTTATTTAGACAAACCATCGACGTGGCCGCACGGCTCAACGTCCGAGCTAAAGACTGGTTTCATCCACAGTCAGGAAAAACAACTAAACTTTTGCACCAAGCTTAACTTGATACCAGCTAAAAGTTTCACTTTAAAACGTATTCTTGGATTACCGTCTGAATGTTCATGAAGCTTTCTCTCTGTCGTGATCCATTTTTATTCTGTTCGTTTTTCTGCATCTTTCTCTTCCCACAGTTTTCAGCTATTGTCAACAAATCAAAACGTTCGGCTCTTTCAGGACAACCCCGCTGTGACTTTGGTTTTGGTGCAACTTTAGCTTTTTGAAATATTTAGCCTTTTCTGCCATTTTAGTCTCACAGAAAATGAACTGAGCTCATTTTCCATCCTCCAAATCTTTAGCTGTGCTTACAACCTTTTACTGCTCCTTTCACATTCTGTTCAGCTTCAGCTGCTTTCAGCTCCCTTCGGAAAAGTTAAACTTTTTTCAGCTACTTTCGGTTGTTTTGCGCTCCATTCTGATTCTTTCTGCTAACTGTAACATTTTTGTGCTTCTTCTAATTTATTATTTCAGCTACTACAGGTATATAGCTGTTTTTATGCTAATTTAAGCTTTTTCAGCTAATTCCACATTTTTGTGCACTAATTTTAACTGTTTTCAGCCTAATTCAGCAATGAAGTGCTCTTTCCACTTCCTTCTTGTAATGTCAGCTTCTTTCTGCCTTTTTAGCTACTTCTCTGCTGTTTTTTTTTTGTTGTTGTTGCTAATTTTAGCTTTTTTCAGATAATTTCCACTTTTTTGTGTTTATTTCAGCCTAATTGGGAAAACGTGTTCTTTCTGCTTTCTTCTGCTAATTTAAGATTGTTAAACCTTTTCAGCTACCTTTTTGCTAATTTTAGCTGATTTCAGATAAATTCTAGTTTTTCATCTCTGCTACTTTCAGGCAAATTAATTTCTTTCTGCTAATTTCAGCTTGTTATGCTCCATTCAGCTTATTTCTGCTAGTTTCAATTATTTCAGCTACTATTTAACCGTTTTTATGCTAATGTTAACCTCTTCAGCTAATTCCACAGTTTTTGCATTCATTTCAACATTTTCCAGCTTAATTCAGCCAAAACCTGCTCTCTCCACTTCGTACTGGCAATTTAAAGTTATTTCTGCTTTTTTAGCTACTTTTTTTCAGATAATTTTCACTTTTTTGTGCTCATTTCTGCTTCTTTCAGCAAATGTGTTCTTTCTTATTTCTTCTGCTAATTTAAGCTTGTTCTAACTTTTTTTTTCTGTAATTTCAGCTGTTTTCAGGTAAATTCAAGTTTTTCATGGTAATTTTTGCTACTTTCAGCCTACTTAACTTCTTTCTGCTAATTTCAGCTTGTTATGCTCCTTTCAGCGTATTTCTGCTAGTTTCAGCTTTTTCTGCTATTTCAGCTACTTTTTAGCTTTTTTGTGTGTTAAATTTAACCTTTTCTGCTAATTCCACATTTTTAAGCTCATTTCAGCTCATTCCACTTCCTTCTGGTAGTTTAAGATTTTTTTCTGTTTTTTCAGCTACTGTTCAGCCTTTTTTTTTTTCTTTTTCTCATTTCAGCTTTTTTAGCTAATGTCCATGCTCATTTCTGCTAATTTAAACCTAATTCAGAAAACGTGTGTTCTTTCTGCTTTCTTCTGCTAACTCAGGCTAGTTTTTCCATTTCAGTTATAGCTAATTTCAGCTGTTTGTCAGCAGGTTTTTTTTTTTTTTTTTTGCTAATTTCAGCTGTTTTTCAGCAGGTTCTTGAGGAATAAGCATTCTCGCTACATTTTCACAGGAAATGAAATGTCTCTAGTTTTTATTAAAACCGTTTTTCTTCCGTACGTTCTTCAGAACGCAACTCGTTCTGTAGTTTTTGCTCTATTTCAGCAATTTGTGTATCGAAACGTTCGGCTCATTCTGGAGATTCTTGCTGCGACTTTTGGTATTTGTGCAATTTGTACTTTTTGAAATATTGAGCCTTTTCAGCCGCATTGTTCTCGTTGAAAAAGGAGCTCTCTCCAAGTCCTTCAAACGTGTTGAGCTGTTTATTTTACTGCTCGTTTCAGCTTTTGTTCTAGTTCGGCTTCTTTGTTCCTTTTTTGTGTTTTCTGCTACTTTTCAGCTAAGTTCAACTTTTTCTACTATTTTTTATCTTTTTTATTTTTCTTCTGCTTATTCCAGTTATCTGCTAATATTAGCTTGTTGTACCTTTTCCAGCTACTTTTCTGCTAATTTGTGCCTTAAATCACTTTATTTATCATTTTATCATCAAACACATTTCATATTGATAAAAACGGTCTGCTTCACCCATGTAGGCCACGTCCTTCCAGTCCAGCTTCTTCTTCTCCACGATGGCCTGGACATGGTCCAGCGGCTCGTCGCCCACCTCCTGGACCTCGCAGCCCGTCAGCCTCTTCAGTTTGTCAGCCAGCGCCTGTGCAGGGTCTCTGCTGGACACCAGCAGCACCACCTGCAGGACATCCAGAGGGCTGTAGAGGAACCTTTCATAAAACACAAAGAGTTCACCGACGACTGAAAAGTCCAACCTCGACGTCGTCTTTCTGCAGCATCCGGATTCCCGTTGTGTCTCTGGTGTGGACGGACACCGTGTCTTGTCCAACTACGGACAGAAAGACTCTTCCGTCTGTTAGACACCCAGAAACCTGACAGAACATCAGGGACACGCCACGGCCGAAGTAACCGTACCTGCCGGGGAACAAGAAGAACAAAATGATGACGGTCAAAGCTGCAGAATCGAACAGGCGGCCTCCAGGGCGAGTCTTTTATAAAACATAAAGCAGTCCTCGATGGGGATGAAAGGGTTCATTGTCACAGTTACCATGACTACGGTTCACACTCTGAAACCATAAGACTGTCATTAACACCAGAATCCATCTGACCGTCAGGACGGTTGGAACCAGAGTGGAGGTCCAGGAGCTCCA